AGATGAGCTTCTTTACCCTGATTAGAATTCATTTTCATGGTGAAAATGAATTTGGAATATATAATTTCCACTTTTTAATGATTTTTTTTCAGCTTTGCTCTTATTCATTAACATTCAATTTTATTCAACTAAAAACTAATCACTTTTGATAATCAAAAGTAGTTAATTGAATTTATGGAGAAAATTAAAATCAGATTAATTTGCATTATTTTGACAAATTAGTGATTTAAGCTGATTACTAATTAAATGGATTATAATGGGAGAGAAAAAAAATGTAAATAAATAAACAAATTAAACTTAAATCACAACAATTAACTGTGTATTATAAATGATATGTTATTCAATATCCTTGTGACCATGAAACATTACATGGTTATCCAATACTAAACCCGGAAGTGAATGTAACATCAATCACTTGAAATGAATTAAATTGTTTCAAGTTAATCATGATATTTAATTTCAATCAATATGCTATGGGAAAAGGTAAAGTGTTAACAATAACAATAAACTATTAATAATTTATTAACAATAATAACATGATAATAATAATAATGGACACAAATAATAATAATCATCTCCACCTCCCACTCTGTGTGAGATACAGTTTTTTGCCATTGATCCGTTACTATTTGATTACAATCAAAGATCAGAATTGTGTTGTGTCAATTTGATTTGATTTGATTTGATTTGATTTGATGGCAAGAAAATGATTCCAAATGATTAAGTTACGCTCCATTACCAGTTAATAATAGTTGAAAGTTGATTCTTGTTAATATATAATATTTAAGTTGCGACTCTTTTATTTATTTTTTGTTCACAACAGAAACCAAAATGATGCTTAAGAGGATGAAGATGGAGGATGATGATGGGTGATGATGGTGATGGTGGTATGGAAGGTGGGATGAGGATGAGATTATGATGATGATGAAGATAAAGTGAGCAAAAGTTACTTCATATGATAATATAATGGTAATCATATTAAAGAGCCTGTTGTTTGATTGTTGCTTTTTTATTGACTTGATTTAGACTTTTTTTTTCTCGCTCAACCTTTTACACTGTCAATGGGTAATGATGATGATGATGATGATGATGATGATGATGATGATGATGATGATGATGATTATCATCATTGACACCGCAAACTTAATCATATTAAGTCAATCAAGTTAGACAACACAATTTAATTCACAATTTAACCATTTAACCTTAATCCTAACCTTTTGTTGAAAATACTAAATTGTCAGATAATTTAATTATAATCTTTTATCATTTCAACTTGGAAAATTGAAAATCTAGCAATTACAATTAGTGTTAATTTGATTACGATACATTATTTGATTAATACAATGATTTGTTGATGTGATTCAATTTTTTTTGTTGATATGTAACTTAGCTTGTGATTAGCAATTGATTTGTTATTGTTTAAATTGTTTAATTAGGATATTTGAACAGTAAAAAAAAATAACAATAAACTGATGGAGTTAATCAATCACAATCAATTGATTATTAATAAAATCTCATATAACTGATTGTAGTTGGAAATCAATAATAATGATAATAAATGATTTTCGAGTGTCCAATGTGATAATAATGTTAACTGTAATTGTTATCATGAATCAGAATGATAATAATATGGAAAAATATTTTCACTCCCTGCTGATTCCCGCCGGTGACCAAATATGAGGAGTGGGAGGTTGACTTTCAATAACCTAATATACTGTTATTATTATTTTCCCTCCCTGTGTAAGGATCATGGTGATAACCGTTATATAAATATAGTAAAAAAAAGTTGACAGATTTAATCAGAATTCATGATAATTTCAAATTGTTGATTGTTTGTGATAACTTATTGTTATTAATTTTGTGGTCAAATTGTTACTATTATTTGATGATGATTATGATTATGATTATTGATTGTTGCTTCTGATTGTAGTTTTCTCCCATTGAGAATGTTAATCAAAATGATATTAGATTTTCTGATTCAATTCCAAGTCAACCAAAGTATTAAGAGTTATCAAGTTCTAACTGAGAATTTCAATTTCAATTTCACTTGGAAATTCAATTTTATCTGATAATACTTGGAAACAAATCATTTCGGATACGTTTTCATTCATGAATTGATTTTGTGTCCACTTTTCTTCAATTATAATACTTACTGGTCAAGGCTAGGTTACTTTAACTTCTGGTACTAAATATGATTGATGATATTTCATTGAGTTCAATATAAATATGAAAGGATGGTGATGATTATCAATGATGATCAGGTCTATGATTTAATGTTAATCTTATTTAATATATTATCATGGTTATTATTGTATTTCATACTTTTATCTCAGGAATTCAAGATAACATGATTCATGAATAATATCAAGATTACATGAGGAGATAGTTTTTTTCCGGTCATTTCAATGATTGAAAAATGATTCGTATTCATGTTCTAGTGTAATAAAGTAAATTTCATTGGTCAGTAAGACTAAAAGTGACCAGTCTCTTTATGATGGTCATAAGACAGAAACAGATATAAATATAAGTTTTAAACGTAACTATCACTACGAATCGTTGTTGTTGGATAATCAATAACAATTTACTGTATCATTAGTTTGTATGCACATGTATACATTTGACCATTGGTCAACAAATGGTGACTTTAAAGTCAATTAGATTCGGTAAATTAAAGCGATAAGTAAGAAAAAAGATACACCGATAAAAATGAATAACTTATACGAATGAATTAAATTGCAACAATTTAGCAATCAAATAAAAGGATCGACAACAAAATCGAAGGCATCAAATTGTTATGTAAAAATAAGGCTCCAAAAGTGAAAAGGAATTGGAAAGCAATCAAAACGATCATAAATTGATTATATTGCCGAAAGGAGTGGTCAACAGTTTAACAGGTAATGGTGGAAAATTAAATGCATAATTAAGGTAATAATTTAATTTGATTGGTGTTGAAAACAGAAGCGCCAAAATCAAGCCAATAGGTTGACAATTGAAATGGATTGATATTGTCAAAGAGACACAAACTTTACTAATATAATGACATTGTTAATGATTGACTGAACAATTAAAATGGAAACTTTAACAAACATTAACTATTGTCATTGTTAATCACAATTAACTATTATAATCAACTATTAGAAGTGATTATTTGAATACCTTTCAAAGTCGATGTGTGAAATAACTTTATTAACTTTCCTTCAAATCGCTTGCGAATACAAAATCTATTCATTGGAGATTTTCATTTGTTGGCCTTTCTTGTTGTTGCTTGAGGAGAAAAAAAGTAACTTTTCCTCGACCCCAAACTCGATATAAGAACTATGTTCTAATACAACATGAGTACATACATATCATAAACTACTGTCATTGTTATTGTCAAGTGGTTCCCTTTTTATTCACAGAAAACTTTTATACAAAGTATCGAACTCACTTTCTTGAACAGTTGATCTTAGTCGTCTTTTTTGTTGTCATTGAAAATGTTGAACAACAACACAAAAAGACCAACAGCAAAGTCGACAAAATGTAATCGAGTGACAAAGTTTTACTAACCCAATAGAAAGAAGAGTAAATGATTAAGTTGGAGAAAAAAAGTTGTTCACATTATGATAATATCCAAATAACCGGGAAAATAGAAAAGATCAACGGACAATATTAATATCTACGAGTCGACTAGTTGATTTTTCACAATTATAATCACACAATGGAAAAGGACAGAGAGAGAGAAAGAGAAAGAGAGAAAGTCAAGTCTTTGTAAAGTTTTTCTTTCCTTCATAAACCATTGGAGCTTAAGATGGATAAACTTTTTATCAACTTAATCAAACTTAATCTAACCTCATCTAACCTAAGTTACTATTATTATTATTGTTATTGTCGTCACCATCTCGATGTATTTGTATGTGGGTATGCATATTCATATTGATCATTACGATAGCTAATGGACAAGGAAAATGTTAATACTTTAATGATCTCGTTTTCAGGTTAATTTATTTTTAAGCTTCTTCTTTAAATCATTCAACCAGATAAGGTCCATTGTTAACTAGTTAAATATATATACACACACACACTCACACTCACACTGATACTCACTCATTGATGGACATGAAGCTAACGATTTGGTTCACAGATTTTCAATTAACTTCCAACGACCATTGATTTCAATGGGAGGAGGAGGAACAGGGTATTCATACAATGATAGCACATCATCCTTATCATCATAATCATCATATTAATATAATCATAAGCCATTATCAGGCCAAACCTTTTTACAACTATTATATTGCCTGTGATTAACACTCAATCATATTTCATTAAGTTATTTTTTTTCAACAATAAATCAAATTTAATCATCTGTATGTTGAGAAACTGTGATGACAATGATGATGATTGCAAGTTAATTGACAATTATTATTATAATTATGATTTGATTATAGTTTTGAGCTTCGATTTTGTAAAATGCTGCTCTTTAAGTTCTGAATATAGTGGAAGAAGCAATCTCATGAAATCTTATTTTGGAATATGGGATTTTTTTATTCTCTTTCTTTCCATGTTTGTATATAATAATAATAAATGAATCATGATGATAATGATGACCAATTGTAATGGAAGATGAAATTTCTGATAGCTTTAATGTATGAACTTAATTCTGAGTTGATTGGTCATTTTCCGGTTGAAAAAGAGAACCGGAAATATTTAGAAAGAAAAAGATTTGGTACTTTTTTGTCTTGAATTATATTCTCTTTCAACTGAGCATTTGATTGTCATCATCTCATTATCATCATCATTACGTCAAGAGTATTTTATCAAAAATAATAACAAAACTCAATGAAATTAACTCAACTAATTGAATTCAAACAACTGATTCATATTTATGATATTAACTCCTGAGCACTTGACTTTCTTGCTGAAGGACAATAACTTTTTTCATATGGATAAACTTGGAGTGAAAATTATCACGATAAAAATAAAAAGTTCATTTTGAAGCGGAAAAAATTTAATAATAATCGATAATTTATTGTTTGTATGACGATGATGATGATGTTTGATTATTTTCAGTGTGTTGATATAATAATTGTAATAATAATAATAATAGTAAACATAATTTGGTTAACAATTAGCGCTTGTGAAACCAGCAGCGGCTGCAACGGCCGCCGCTGCCACAGAGAAACCAATGTGAGCTGGCGGTGGATGATGAGGATAAAAGGGAAAACCAAAAGCCGCTGCAGCGGCTGCAGGTAATAGCGGACGAGCTGATAGTCTTATCTTTTCAATTTCCGCTTCCTTGAGACGCTTTTCCTTAGCTCGACGATTTTGGAACCAAATTTTGACCTGAGTTTCCGTTAAGTTAAGCGAAGATGAAAAGTCGGCTCGTTCAGCTATCGAAAGATATTGTTTATTTTGAAATTTTCGTTCTAATGCTAAAAGTTGATTATTGGTAAACGGAGTTCGAGGCTTCCGGTTACTCTTGTGTTTCCTTAATTGACATTTAATCGCTGGTAATCTTGGTAATCCATTTCCACCCTCACTATTTACACTGCGATTGAACCAAGGGTATCCTTCATTTGTAAAGACACCGACAAATGCTGAAGGTGAATTGTGTGGGTGAAGGTGGTTGAAGGGATGAAAAGGATGAGTTGAAGGAGGTGATGAGTGAGATGATGTTGGTGGTGATGATGAAATAACGGTTTCACTTGGTAATTCAGTTACATCACTTGAATCACAATCATCATCATCATCAACATTTATATTTGTATTTATATTAACTTTAGTTTTACTTTTACCGTTATCTTTTTCACTGTTGACACGATTATTGTTATTATGATAATTAGTCCCTTGGTTAATTAATTTATCAATTCCAAATGATAATTTACTTGATTTACTTGAAGTTGTTATTGTAATTGTTTTTGATGGTGCTAATGAGATTGATGTTGATGAGGATGAGGATGAAGAGGAAGAAGATGAAGACGAGGAAGATGTTGAAGTTTTCATTGATAACTATTAGTGATTAATTAGTGAGCTAATTACTTTTTTTATATGATATGATATGTTTTCAGTAATTTTTTTCGTTTGTTTGTTTATAAAATAATTACACAACTAATAACAATTAACTGTTGACATGGATCATGATTCAAACAATCAGACTTATAGTTAACTTGTAAATAACATTCACTTTGGTTAAACTCAAACTGTTTATCATTTAACTTTCACGCCATCTACAGAGTGGGAACTTTGTTTCAACCTATACAACAACAACACCCACTCTCACTGGAAGGAGGAGTCACTAGGGAGTGGGAATATTATGAGGATGAGGGTGGGGTGGGATTAGAATTCATCTCTTAGTGATAATGTAAGGCTCGTTGTGATGAAATTGATCGTTAATGTAGATATTAAATTGGGTTACAAGCAATTAATTACACATATAAAATATAATGATTATGATTTGAAACTAATTAATGGAAATTTGTATTAATGTTAATTTCATCTGAACATGAATTTTAATAACTGTTAATTTTTATGGTGATTTTTCATTGTGGCTTAGAGATAATAATATGAATCAGAGACTTTGGATTGAATAATTGAATGAACTGATTGAAGGTTTGAAGATTATTATTCTTGAGAATATTTTTTAATTCCTCTTTTGTGTTGATTGTTACAATTTAGTGTATCGATTTCAATGTTTCCACTGAAAAGATAAAGTCATTGGTTTGTGTTTGTCTTTTTTTCCCTGTTACTTGTTGATTGGCACCTTCGCTTTAAACACAAGATTAAGATTAAGATCTGATTCAGATTAAAGTTAATTATATGTTTACATTTAAACGATTCTTTATTGTTATAGTCAAAACAATCAAATCAAATCGAAACAAACTCTCTCTCTCTTTCTCTTTCTTTCTTTCTTTCTTTCTTTTTTTCTTTCTCTTTCTTTCTTACTCTCTATCCACAGGTAACTACAGAAAAAAGTAAACAAAAGGTTAGCAACAAACTCGAACCAGATTAAGGGAAAAACACCCAACAGAGTAAAAGATAATCTTGTAAAATTATTGTCGCATTTAACTCTTACCTTTACCTTTTTACCTTTTCTACTTTTCTTTCAAGCGAAATATGAAACCACATAGAAAATGATTTTCCATTGAGTTTAATCACTTGACCACAAGAACAATTAAGATAATGATAAATATCTTGTTCTCAACTGACAAGTAATTAACTTTCATTCATTTCATCATAAATAATAATAATAATCGTAGTAATTACAATTTAAATTGTCATCACGATTTCACATTTATTATATTTATCGTATTACCGAGTTCAATGTTGTTTGAAATGACATTTGATTAATGTATCATGAATGTGATATTACAATCAGATTTGATTAGATTCTGATTATAAAGATATGGTTTTGATTGATTGAAAGTTTGAAGGGTAAAAGTTTAACCTTTAATCAAATTAACAGGCAAAAAATGAAATCAGTTGATTAAATTGGGTGAATCAAATTGGGATGTTAATTACAATTAAAACATAATGTTTAAGATGAAAATGATTTGATGACAATGTTAATTATTTACAAATTAGTGAGTTGAGTGAGTGTTGATTGGGAAAAAGTGAGAATGAAACATGAGCTGGAGGAGGTGGAGGTCGAGGATGATAAAATTGCAGACCAAAAGCACCAGGTAAGCACCGAGTTGATATTCTTAATTTTTCCACTTCCGCTTCCTTGAGTCGTTTATCTTTAGCCCGACGATTTTGGAACCAAATTTTGACCTGAGTTTCCGTTAAGTTAAGTGAAGATGAAAAGTCGGCTCGTTCAGCTATCGAAAGATATTGTTTGGTGTGAAACTTTCGTTCCAATGCTAAAAGTTGATTATTGGTAAACGGAGTTCGAGGCTTCCGGTTACTCTTGTGTTTCCTTAATTGACATTTAATCGCTGGTAATCTTGGTAATCCATTTCCACTGACACCTTCACTATTGCCTCCACCATTGGAACCATTAACACCATTGGCACTCATAACATTCAAAAAACCGCCACCATTAAGCCAAGGGTAACCTCTTGGTGAGAAAAGTCCAATATTAGCATAAGGAGATGATGATGAAGAATCAATTTGATGGTGATGGTGAAGATGAGGATGAAAATGCTGATGAAAGGGATGAAGACTTAGATGATGAGGATGAGTTGGTGGTTGAGGTGGAGGTGATGGTGATGAGGTTGGAGATGAAGATGAGAGGACAGTCTCACAAGGTGAGATAAAACTATCCTTTTCATCATCAATATCATCTAAATCACTATCAACATGATCATCATCATTATCATTAACAATTACATCATTTTTAATCAAACTATCAATAGAAAATGATAATTTATTTGATTTAACTGATTGTGATGAATTGGTTGTAGGTAATAATTGGGAGGTATTAGTAACTGTCGTTGAAGGTGTTGTTTTAATTATCGGTGTTTTTATCGATACCAATGATTTGGTTATCGATGTTGAACTTGAAGTTTTCATTTTTCGTTCTCAGTTCTGATCGATTCAATGTTTTCCCAAGTGTAACAATTTACTTATTTTTCAATTGAATCACAATTTAATGTCAATATCACTTTAGGTAATTGTTGCAACCATTCAGACTTATAGTTAACTAGAAAATAACATTTACTTGGACTCGACTCCAAGTGTAACTATAAGTTTCAACTCGAACGCCATCTAACTAGAAATGGTTAGATTGTTGTACTTTTATTATGATAATCAGTTGATTAACATTTAAAGAGGTGGAGTGTAACTGCCACTGGTTAACCGGCGGTAAATCTGAGGAGGGATTTGAATCATCATCTCTCCTCAGGGTGTGTCTTATTTTCAAGTCTCTCTCTCTCTCTCTATGTGTGTGTGTCTATGTGTATCTCTTGTGTATGTTGATCATTATGAGTATTTGAGTTGTAATATTTGAAATGATCTTTCATTCAAACAATTAAATTGCTTCCTTTTAGATTGTTATCTCCTTTTCTCTTTCTTTTTCATACTAATTATCGTGGTTTTATTATTATTAAAAATGAATAATAATCAACATGTTGACCACAATGTTTGGTCATTACTCGTTTATCTTTAATGGTCAAGTCATATTTCACCTGTTGAAATATTTTTACCACTTTATCATTTACACTGGACAATCAACTTATACTTCCAACTGTGAACAACAATAAGTAAATAATTTACATTATTTTAATTACCACTGACCAATGAATGACCATTAAAACTAGAATACAGTTTAGTATATATCGATTTCAATGTTTCCACCGAAAAGATAAAGTCATTGGTTTGTGTTTGTCTTTTTTTCCCTGTTACTTGTTGATTGGCACCTTCGCTTTAAACACAAGATTAAGATTAAGATTAAGATCTGATTCAGATTAAAGTTAATTATATGTTTACATTTAAACGATTCTTTATTGTTATAGTCAAAACAATCAAATCAAATCGAAATAAACTCTCTCTCTTTCTTTCTTTCTTTCTTTCTTTCTTTCTTTCTTACTCTCTATCCACAGGTAACTACAGAAAAAAGTAAACAAAAGGTAAGCAACAAACTCGAACCAGATTAAGGGAAAAACACCCAACAGAGTAAAAGATAATCTCATTAATACAAAATCCAATTGTCGATAATAATCTTATTCGTTATTCGTTAGTCAGTGTTGTTAGTTTAATATCAAATTAACTAATTGTGCCGATCAAAGTGGCAATATTATTAACACGATCTTCGAATAGCTCTCGGAAATTGGAAAGGTATTAATTAAATCAAAGACAATTAACAATGATTATCTTAATTTACTTTTCTTTTTCTCTCTTGTTTTTACTATTGACCATTTACATACATGTATAAGTAAAGGGTTTAACTGACCCCAAGACTCTCAATGATTACTATTTATAATGAGGTAAAAACGGGTTGGTACAAATAACGTTTTTTTAGATGAAAAATACTTGACCATTAACTGATTGTTGGTACAAAGTAATCAGCGCTTTTTTTTACTATCAACATAATTACAATGCTTTCTATCCTTTACACCTGATTTAGCGTATTTGTTTCAATGAAAAGGTAACTAGGTTAGTAGTAAGTTATAATGAATGATTATTATAAATGATAATATGTGTTTACCTGTTGAAAATTAGTAACAACTTTTTACCTTAACCTTTTCCTGTGGACTATTATTAGTGTCCAGACAAGTTGTGATTTCGAGACGGTCACTATTTCATTCATAGATGAATATATGTATGTCCAGATTATTGTTTTTTCTTTGTTGACCTCTTGGTGAGAGTCCTTTTCATCACAAGAGATGAAGATAATCAATTGAATAATAGACAAAAGAAGATAATCGATTTTTGTCTTACTCTTCTTACTTTTTCATCTATTTTTCTTTTCTTTCTATTACTTTTTCTTTGCGGATAAAGACAGAAGCAGAGAGAGAGAGAATTACTCTAACCATCGATACCGATTGATGTTACTGTTTTGTAGTATTCAGAGTCGCGTTATGGCCTAAGGTAGGTTAGGCTAAAAAAAGGTATACTCACAATTGGAAATGAATAAAAATCAATTGTTGTCATATTTTGTTATTGTTTTGAATTGGTCATTGACTACTAACTGGACAGAAACAAACAGGTAACAACAAAATACCAATGAAATTGGTTCCGAACTCGATTCAATGTTATCATCTTCATCTTCATCGTTGCATTAGTTGTTAACTTGATGATGGACAAAGTCTGACCCAATTTATTCGGACAACAAAAAAAGGTCCTAATTAAAGGTGTGGTCAATTCTCAAAGGGTCATTAGTTTGTCCATCGATTTTTTCCCTCTTACTCTCGTTCTCTCTTTTTTTTTCATTCCTTAATTACACTTACGAAGGGACAACCATACTTTCTGTAGCTCAATAAATGACCTGAACGATGGCGACTTGTTAATAACCATTGTTAATATCACAATAACTTTTTTTTGTTGTTCGAAAGAAAAAAAGAAAGAGAAGATGAAGATAATGATGATGAGACGAAAGTCATAAATTTAAACATTGATAAAGTTAAACGAAGTCTATTTGACTTTTGGCCTGATTGAGGTTCGAGTGCGAACGAGCTACTGATTGTTTCCTATCTCATCTCAATCTCTACAATGTTTCTAGTGATAAAAAAGCTGAATGACTTTTTTTCTGACCTTTTACCTGTTGATCCCCTTGGTAAGATAAACGATAATCCATTTCAACAAAATTAGCAGTAAAATCAGCATTCACCTGTAATTGTACATATTATCATATTCATCTTGGTGATATAATAATAATAATATTAAATTTCGAACTGACAAAACTCTAATGATATCAATGTACTTTAACTGAAACTTTTTTCACTCAAACATCATTTGTTTAATTGCTTTGTGACTCTTTTTTTTACAACAATCATCAATTATCATCACTAATCACCTCTTCCTTATTATCAATATGCTGATTATCATGTTAATCACCATCATTGAAAGTCATCATCACAACGATAATAATAACCCTTCACTTACTATTAATAGTAACACAATCGTAATTGCAACTTTCACTTTTTTACCTGTTAACATTTCCCATACTTTGGACACTTTACCTTTTTGTCTTTACCTCTTTTGCTGACTCTAATTGACCTTAATTAGCCTTAATTGACCGTCAACAATTTAACTTGATTGTAATTCACATTAGACAAACTATAGTGGTATCATTATTGTCCCAATGCAACGCCAAGTTAAATATCAACTAGAACAAAAAAAAACTCCATTACTTTGTATTCAAACTTTTTTATCCTTCGAATTGTACATTTGCGACTTTTGATTAACTCGAAAGTAACAATTTACATAATTATTTATTTAGAAAACAAAATAGTTTACATGGAGACCCAGAGAACGACAAAGGTCACTTTGATGGCGAAACCCGTGATTATTGACTGCGATAATATCGAATTTCGAATTATGTTCTAAATTCGAAAGTGAACTTTTCTTCTTTTATCATTTGACCTTCTTTACTATTCATGTTGACATATCGTGTGATGTAAGGGAGTTAAAACTCCCAAGACTATCAGGTAACAATTTATTGATTGTTGATCGTATTATTTTTCTTAATTGGCTAAATTCATCTCAATATTAAACCATTCACCAAATGATGTAAACATTTAACTTGATTGTTACAAAAATCTATTCACATTAAGTTTAACCATAAAGTTAATCACTTTCAATGATCATACTGACAATTTAATCAATTGTACCACTTTGATTGTGATTATTGTAATATGATAACTGCAAGTTGTTACAATCATTGGTTAAATAATAACATCAATCAAATGAAAATTTTTGATTCGAAACTTTTTTTTTCTCAATCATTTGAATTTATCATTTAAATGATTCAGATGATTAATAAATTGAAATATCAATGATTCCGAGATTACCTGCTGATTGTCAGTTAAATTTTAATCATTACTTGGATAAAATTAAATTGTTTCAATCATCAATGGTTATCATTTTATTTCTTTACTATTAATAGAATCAGAACTGAAAATTAGATTTGATTGTTAACTGTCAACCTGATGCCAATCAAAATTAACCATTTGTATTGATTATCAATACATTTATATTTTGATTGACTATTCAATTTAACTAGATAATCAAATTTAAACTGACAATATGATTACAATCAATGGATGGCAATCAATTGATTACAAAGAATGACTATCCAAGCCATTGATTGTAAGCTACTGATCAAGATGAGGTCAATTTTCAAAGACAATGGTCAAGTGAATCGGTAGCTCATTCACACTCTACTTTTAAAACTGGGTCAAGGGTCAAATGGACTACGTTTGACTTTATCAATGTCATGGATTTATGGCTTGATTATCATTGTCCACCTTTAGGTTTATATGAGTGAAAATAACAATTCAGATTTTACGACTTGACGGTCATTCATGGCAATAAATGACCATTGATTGAGTAAAAAAGGGACAGGTCATCGAGTGAA